AAATTTTGAGTTTGTTTCTTTTCATTTCTTGCTCTATTAATTTCATTAACTCCAACTTTGAGATCAAAAATTTGTTAAAATAAATTTAGGCCTTCTGAAAAAAATTTTGGGCTCCACCACCGCCTCAAATAGGACATTAATTCTAAGAAGATGATACTTAATATTGATGATCATTTTATTCAATTCTTGATAAGCATTAAGCAAATTCATTGATATGTAAATACTTATGCTATCATTTTTTAAACATTATTTTAAATAGAAGTAATAAAAGGATCTTGCTGATGTTCTATTTTTCATTGGTTATTAAATTATTTTCATAATTATTAACAACAGAATACTTTATGCCTAATCCCTAAAATTAAATTATTTATTATTAAATAATAATAATAATAATAAAGACAAAATTATCATTTCAAAATAAAAAACTAACTAAATAATAGCTTTACCAAATGAAAAAATTTACCCTTAGTTATTTTCTATAGAACATCGGCGCCACGTCTTCTCCAAGCAGTCCATGCAGTTGAAACGTTGAATCTATTTCACTAACGTAACGTTAGTTTAATTCAGGCTGCTATTTTCTGACAATATCTTCCCAGCTATTTTCTCAACTATAATACATATTTGTAATTAAAAAAACTAAATAACTAAATTATTGCTTTTGCTATGATATGACCAATCATTACAAAATATGAGCAATAAGTAATTTATAGTTTGTGCGAGTAAAACATGTCATTTACTTTGTAAGGTTTTTATTTTGGAACGTGATATCCACCTATTGTCACTCTTGAAAGAGAGCTATATTATCCTGTGCGAACACTGAACGGTTCTCACATCCTGTTACGCTTAGGTACTGAACGATGCGCGATACATTTTTGGAATGGTGTGGAGAATTTTTATTGGTCTCCGAATGTCATCTGGACTTTGCACAGAATAATAAATCCTTTAAAGGGCCCTTGGCGGCATGACTAATCCTCGACTGACCAAGAAGAGGCACCCACTGCAAAAACCTCTTGACCCGCACTTAATTGAGCCCCACTTAAGAGGTGTTATCGCTCGAGGGAAATAGAGCACGGATTGGGAGTTTCTCAACCATACTCAGTCCAACAAGTAAGGTAAACAACGATGATTATTTATAAGGTTTTTTTTAACCTATTTGCACGGATAATTTTAAAATGTTTCAGCGGTCATAGTTAGACGACACAGTACTCGACAAAAAAACAAATTTTAGTAAATTATAATTATTTTTATTTGTAAAGAAAATGACAGGGCAACTGCAATTTGTGATTTTTAAAGTGTTTTTTTGTCATAAAAGAAGAGGAAATAGGAGTTTCGGGGATGTTAACCGATACAAGACAGAGAAGCGACAGCTATGTATGTGCTTTGGACGAGAAGCAATAAGTAAATACGCAAAAGTTAAGCTCCACCTCTCATTTTGAGCAATGAGATGGCAGCACGCTCTCCAGCTCTTCACGGGAAAAGATTATAGAAGAAAGACTGGCTTTGAAATCTTCTCTACCTGCGCAATTTAATGTTCCTTCCTTCTTTGATATTTATTTTGAAAAAAGTTATTTTTTTTTTATTATAAACGGTATTAAATTCAAATAATATTTGCTACGTACTAAAATATTTATAATAACATGGATCATTCTTGTAGGCGAAGGCGTATATCAAAGGCAAGCATCGGCTTTATAGACAATGGCGCTATATATCATCACATATGTAAGCTTCGAATCTAAGGCATCTTAGTTGATAACCAAAGCTCCAAACTAATACATCAAGATGAGCTTTGTTGTGAAAGATTGTCAAACCAGTTTACATTTTGCTCTATTTCTATTCTATTTTCTTCATCAATCTAGTACTCATCTTTCAATAACTTAAAATAATTTTACTAGAAGTCTCATTTTTCAAGTATTTTTTGGCTGGTTTCAACCATTTAATAACATGAAAACAATAGGAAGAAACCACCATAATCAATGCACATCCACATTATAATGTCCTTTTTCATCACAAATGGAACAAGTTCTCTACATAGAGACACATTAGGGAGGATGAATCCCCTTTCAACTAATGCCTGAAGTCGAACCTTCAACTCCTGAAGCTCCTTAAGTGTCATTCTATTCGGAACAATAGAGATCGAAGCAGTATCCAAAAAAAGATTGATACATAATTCTATCTCTTTGTAAATTGCTATTGCCCTCAATCTACCCATGGTCGACTGCGGAGAGCCTTTGAAATCAGAACGTCTATCAAAACCACCTTAGGGACACTCTACAATCCTATGTCTAAACTGACCATAGTTAAAACACTTGCCTCATGCTCTATAATACTGAGCATTGTGCTTTATACCACACTGTTGACATAATGGGGCCTCACTCACTGAACCCCCAGAACTAACAACTTTGCCTCTATATGATCCATAAGAAATTGTTATTAGTTGTCCCCTTCTTCTGAACTCAACAGGTCCAAACATGCTCTTCTTCCCAGAATGGTTACTGCTAGCTGTCTCACTACCAAATCTCTTCTTGCTTGTATTTCATCGTTGCTGCACTACTACCAGATCAGTCTCTATCCTCTTGGCCCTCTGGATTAACTGAGTAAAGTTTGTGATATCTTGAGCCAATAGTGGCTGCCTCAAAGCATCTTGGAGTCCCTTCAGAAATCGATAACACTTTTCCTCATAAGAGTTAACTAACTGTGGAGCATACCTTGAAAGAGCAGTAAACTCTGTCTCGTACAAGATCACTGACATGTTTCCCTGAATCAACTTCAGAAAAGAGCTATGTAAATGTCTCCTATAAGGCAAAGGCATAAACTATGTCCTGAATGTCTCAGCAAACTCATCCATAGTAATCAACGTATTTGCATGATCCTAAAACTTCTCTTTTTGTTGGCCCAACCACTAGCGCTCTATGTTGCCATTAAATAAAAATACAACTAATGCAACTCTCCCCACATAATCACAATATATCACATCCAGAGTTTTTTTTATCCTCATCAACCAATCTTGAGCTGCTCTAGGCTTGATAACACATGAAAGTCCAGAAGGCTATAATCTCATAAAATTTTATAAATATATATCCATGTCATCAGATTGGGTACCAACAACTAGTTTGTGAGCCTCACTAACTAACTATGTTATTATACATGCAATTTGAGAAATAATGTCAGAACTAATCATAAGGATTGTACCCTGAACTTGAGCAGCCTGACTAAAACTCTGATCATTGGTCATATCTGGATTTAGTTGATGTCGATAAGCTATCTCAAAATGCAGAGCTGAATGCAACCCATGTATATGAAAAAAAAATAAATAAAATGAGCACACAAAACTATCCAGAAGCATCTCACTCTTCTACAAATTAAATCTTATAGCTCTGTTATAATTCACTTCTCCAACCTATGCTCTGATACCAAAAATCTTATCACAACTTAACCCGATATGACCCGATAACACATAGGTCATACCGTATATGATTATGGCAAGATTGACCTCAAGATATGGTTGGAGAAATACTGAAATAAAATATCTAATATATATACTACACATAATTACTATTGAATGCAATATAAAGCGGATGACTACTGAATTTCAATAAGATTTTTTATATATCATCCAAAACATATATAATATAAAATATATCTACAACAATACTTGACAATAGAGAGTACAACAAAAATAAAAGTCAAACTTACAAAAAAATGAAAACTAATCAAAACATACCTACAACACATTAAAGCGTGCTATCCAAACTAAGGACTACAATATTTTTTCATTTTCTTAAGTTTTTCACATAAAAACTTGGGTGCGTTGATCTCATACAAAACTAAAATATTAAATTCTCTCTACAATAATGATTTTTTTTTATCATATAATAAGATCATATTACAATCCTACTATAATTTTTTTAAAATTTAAAATCACTTAATCAAAACTTTAAAAACTATATCTTCAGCATTAATATTAAGTATTTTATTTTTTTTACATGAAATTGTAAATATATTTTGCTTTAGTCTTGGATTCTCTTACTAGGCATTTGCAAGAGGATGTATGGCTTTTTGATGTTAATATTCCGAAAGAGAGAGTTGAAGGTAAACTTGAATTAGGAAGTTCAACCTTAGAGTTTAAAAGTTTTCGTTGGAGTAGATGTAAAAATGAATGCATAGTGTAATTTTAATAGAGATAGATTTACGAGGGTTGTGACTTTCGGTGATCATGTCTTTAAAGAGAGTACACATTTTAGATATCTCAGATTTATTATTCAAAGTGATGGTGAAATAGATAGATATATTATTAGTAGAATTTAAGTTTTAATGGTTGAAATGGAGGAACAAATCGGGCATGTTGTGTGATAGAAAAGTACTCGTCAAACTTGAGGGGAAATTCCATAAGATGGTGGTGAGAACTGCAATGTTTTAATGACGCAAAATGTTGGACATTGAAAGATAAGCAAAAAATTTAAGTTAGTGTTGTAAAGATGAGGATTCTCAAGTGGATGAGTAGATTCACTCGTACTGTCAAAATATTAAACAAGTATATACATGAAAAGGTTAGAGTAGCTCCAATAGTGATAAATAAGATTAGAGAGAATCATCTTAATGGTTTGGTCACATAGAACGTCGGCCTTCTTATGGCATAATTAGAAGAGTATATTATTAGATTTGGCTTATATTAGAAAGATAGAGGTAGACCTAGAAACACTTGGTTATAAAATATTAAAAATGATTTTTTGAATTAGATTTAAATGAGAATTAGATTCTTAACTGAACATATTATAAAAAAAAGGTTTATGTAACCAATTTCATATAGTGGGATAAAAATTTGATATTATTATTATATGAAATTATAAATATTTATTTTTGTTAAAATCTCTGCCCTCTTCTAATATTTATCGTTTGGCATTTCTTCACAGTCCCACGCCACATAAACTCCCCCATCGTTACGTGGTCACGATGAATTTTTCTAAAATTCCTTATTTCTCAAAATAATATTATTATCATTAAAAAAATTACCAGCTATAAAAACCCCTCTCCTTTCTCTCTTCCGTTCTTAATCCTGCACATAGGCCCGATGCTTCGATTTCCACTTCCTCAAACCTTCACAACAGAAAATACCTAAGAAAAAAGCGCGGGAAAAAGTGGCGATGATTAGCTTCTGCAAAAGTAGTTTCCATTCGATACTCGGCATCCCCGAATCCGACGATCGCCGGAATCCTCCTCATCGGTGGAGCCACATTTTCCCTCCACCCGACCACGGCGGGCTCCGCCTCCTTGCTACCGATTCCCCCAAGCCTCCTCACGTGGTCGAATACCCTGCTGTAAGGCTCGACACATGCGGCGAGAAGTCGCCCGATCCCGGTGCGTGGGGACTTCACGAGGCATCGGCGGATGCGAGGGGACTCGGCCTCTGCACCGAGAGCCTTGGATCCGAGAGCTGCGACAGCGGGATTGAAATCAACGAAGGCGATGAATCGGCAGCGGAGATCGAGAAACGGAATTCACGGCGACCGTCCCGGAGGCGAAGGGCGGAGGTGCGGCTCCCTCCGCCGCTGCCATGGATGATGGGGCGCGGAGGTCGGAGGACCCGATTCTTGAAGGCTGAGCGAAGGGATGGGCGATTCGTACTCACTGAGATCCAGATCGATACGCCGCCGGAGATTCTCCGCGCTGTCCGCAGCGACGGCAGGCTTCGTCTGGAACTCGTCGAAACGGAGGCGGAAGGCGAAGGGGAGGCCATCGATTGTTCGGAAAGAGAAGAGCACTCACCGGAGACAGTGGAAGCCGCGGGAGACGAGGGATCGGAGGAGAATGGTGAACGGTGGGAGTTGCCGCTGGTGAGGACTGAAGCGCAAAGGTGCCTCGAGGCGGTCAGTAGTGACGGAGGTACTCCCATTTGGTGGGATCACCGCTTCGCCACGAGAGCGTGAGCGAGAAAGTAAAAGGCCGTTGAGATGGACGTGAAGCGGTAACCTTACCTCCGGCTGGCACCAGCCTGGCTCGTTTACTGATCGCCGTCGTTTCCAAAAATAACAAACATAAAACGGATTTTTTTTTTCTTTTTTTTTTGTGCAAGAAGCGAGGAAGGGATAATATCCGGATTTTTTTTGTGTGCAGAAAATAGCTTCTTTTTTCTTCGTATTAAGATTTTTTTTTTTTTTTTTGTGCAAGAAGTGAGGAGGGGATAATTTAGTTCATTCTATGAATTTATTTTAATCCCTAAAAAATTATGAATTTTTTTTTTTCAATTTTAGCAGCAGGATTTCATCGAAAAGATAGTAAAAAAGAAGCTAGGAGGAAAGATTTTGTGGGACAGTTGGCTTCTGAAGCTGTAAGGAGCGAGACAAATGGTAATATTAAAGAAGTGACGTAATAGTTTTTTTAAAAGGAGGGTAGTAATTAATTATTTATTTGTCATATTTTCAAATTATGCTCAATTTTTATTTGTTTTAGTAAATTTATTGGACATAAGATATACTAAATAAAAAATAAAAATAAAATTGATGCTAATTTGGCAGGTCAATGTAACAAGTATAGGTTAAGTTGTTTGATGATAATTTAACGATTAAAGTTGCATGTGAAGACAAGAGTTAAGGCTTCGTTTGGTTTTTTAAACTTCTCAGTTTCAAAAACATCATTAGAGGAAATGGAGTTTTTAAACGGAAAAAGCTAAACCATATCGCTTCTCAAAACAATAAGAAAATGGAGTTTTGGAAAAAACGTGCGGCACATTCAAACGGCAAAAAAAAAAATTGTCGTTTTGAAACGGAAAAAGTACAAAGAACGGGCAAACAAACCAAGCCTAAATTTAATACACGTTGGAATCAAATATGTTCTGAGGTGCATTTGAATCTAATTAACAAGCATGATCTGAGTATAAATAGAAAAGAGAAAAAGACAGAGAGTGAAATTTTGTGAATCATATAAAATTTTTGTCTTGGAAAAAAAAAATGTAAACATAAGATTTGTTGAGCTCAGCATCTCATCCCCTATTTAATTAGTCAATATTAAGATTTAATGTTATATGGATGACATATATATATATATATATATAGCCCAAGATTTCTGAATTCCGACATCAATAAGACATTCAAATGTTCATCAAACGATTCATGATCAAGGGATTCAACATCGGCGGTCCATCCAACCACTCCCCATTTACCCTTGCTTTCTCACCTATTTACGGGCCATGTCACTCCATAAATCTATAAATAGACCCCTCATTTCTCTTGAGAGGGGATCCAAGCAAAAAGAGAAGAAGAGAAAAGAAAGAAGAGAAGGAAGAAGCTCCTCCTCGACCACCGTCTGAGTTCGCCAGACCACCACCTGCGGCCCTCGCCTTTGCCGGACCACCGCCTGATGCCCTCTCCTTCACCGGATCTCCGCCTGAGGCCCTCGCCTTCGGCGGACATCCACCTGAGGCCCTCGACTTCGCCGAGCCATCGTCTGAGGCCCTTGCCTTCGTCAAACTACCATCTGATACCCTCGCCTTCGTTGAACCACCAACTGAGGCCCTCTCCTTCGTCGGACCACCACCTGAGGCCCTCTCCTTCGCCGGACCACCACCCGAGGCCCTCTCCTTCGCCGGACTAACATTTGAGGCCTTAAACTCTGCCAGACCATCAACTAACGCCCGAATTCTGTCAAGTCGCTGTTGGACTACTAGCTGACGCCCTAACTTCCAAGTGACATCATATTTTACACTAGACTTCAACCATACTGTTGACATTTGTATTCTGATCGCCCTGTGGGACGAGTCAACCCACTGTAATCAACTCAAATTCTAGTGAAGTCTTTTCAACTGAGCTAGACCCCGTGGTTTTTCCCTTTTCCAGGATTTTCCAAGTAAAAAATCTTGTGTGAGCTGGATATCCGTGTAACGCTAAGACGTAAAATCATAACTCTATCGCTGTGTATATTCTAGCCCGCAACAATATATATATATAGACATAGCTTGTATTTATTTCATTATGATGAATTGAATAATTTTTAGTAAAATTACATAATTCTGTTTATATATAGCATTATTATATTTATCAAATTATTATTTGTTTGAAATTATCTAATTATAAATAAATCTTTAGTGTAATGATTACTAATGATTAATTAAGATAATCCATAATGAACGATATGCTCCTTAAACCAACAATTACTTTGTTGGAAATAATGTGTACAACCTTCTCAACATAAGGGATGCAGCTGAAGCAAAGTCAGATATTGGAGGAGCTCTAGAGAACGAGGGAGCAATTCAATGGAAAACAGTCAGCATTATTAGAGGACGAGAATGACGAAACATATTTTGAGTAGACTATGTTATAATTGGACGTGTTATTACTATGTATATGTATTTTGAGTAAACTAGTTACATGCGCAGAAGATCAAAAAACAGCAAAATTGTGGATAGCAACAAGAAAATCAGCACAAAAAGTGCCAAAAATACACATGCTAGAGATAATTGCAAGAAAGCAGAAAACAACCTCTATGAATGAAGCAATCAGATGTCCCTTGAGCGCAGCATTGGACGGCGACGATGGTAGTGGACAACAAAGAGAGATGGTGAATATTAACGAGTAACAGTAGTAGAAGCGAACATCAACATCGGCCGGTGGCGACAGTGGTTGGTTGGTGTCAGATGGTAGTGGAAGATGATGGTGATCGTAGGGTAGTGATTGCAATTTTTCGGTTGGTGGTGTGTGGCAACGGGGATGGCTTATTGCTGATCCAACTATGACCAACAAGGGAAAAAGGCTAGCTAGAGGCCTTCAACTAAGGCTTCACTTGGGACGGTTTTCTGTTTCTTTTTAAAATAGTTTTTCAGTACAAAAATTTAAATTTTTTAACTAAAAAATCACTTTAAAAAATAATAAGAAAGCCATCCTAAATGAAGCCTAAATATTCTCTTCGGCTCTACGAGCAGTACTAATTAAGGCTGTCATTTAACTCGCATAGCCCATTGCAAGAAACCATATTGGACGGAAAAAGAAATAAAGACCATTTTGACAAATAAAAAAACTTATCAGATATTAGAAATGCAAAGCACAGAGTTAACAGCTAGTGTTACACTTAATGGGAATGAATGGATAAATATAAGTGATAAAAGTATTATTGTGCATAGGGCTGCAAGCGAATCAAGCGTTCAACGAGCTATTCGATGCTCGGTTCGATTAAAACTCGTTTGTGATCGTTTAACTAACTAAACAAACAAACTTCAACATTTTAAATACTCGATCCTTAAATAAAAAAGCTTGAACACTAATGTGTTCGATTCATTTATGTTCACGAACAACATCATTTGAAGTTCGTGAACAAGCTTGACATTAAGCTCGATAAAAGCTCGAATGGAGAGAAATGCAACTGCTAAGCTTCATTTAAGAATAAATTCATATAGATTAATCATAATTTCATTTTAAATAGACAACTGCTATTATTATAAATTTAATTTTCTGAACAAAAGACATTTCACATTTGTTTATGTTTGCTTGTTTAAGATGTTCATAAACAAATTTAATGTTTGTTTGTCCAATAAATTATTTGTTAAATATGTTCACGAACATAGCTCGTTAATGCTTGTTGTTTAAAGCTCGACAAGGATTAAACGAACCGAATGTGATATTGAACATGAACCAAATATGAACATCCTTAAATTAAACGAACCAAACATGAACAAAAACAATAAAGCTCGAATCAAACACAAACCAAACTTGAACAAGCTAATTATAAACGAACTCAAACATGAACACACACATACTCGGCTTGGCTCGGCTCGGTTCGTTTGCAGCCCTAATTGTGCAAAAGAGATTTAACTTCCTGTGCATCACATAATAGAAATAAATATAAAATAAGGATTTATAAAATGATCGAAGAATTAATGGCGCTAATAATGCTAAATTTTAAAGCCTTGTTTATTGTTTCGTGAAGAAAAAATGTTGTAGAAATTTAGTATCTGTTTGGAATGACTGTAATGTTTTATAAAATTAGTTTTGAAGTTGGTGTGGAGAAAATAATTTAACTACTATGATTCCAAAAAGTAATTTTTCAATATAAAATTTTTTTGAAAAGCAATAAGAAAGTAATAATCAAATAAAATTGTAGTTGATATCTGAAAAGCAAAGCAGCAAGAAAGCTATCCCAAACAGGGTCTTAGTTCATGAAGGGGCTTTTAAAAATTTTGGCTTCATCGTTTGGAACAGCTTTATTAATGCTTTTTAAAACATTTTTCTAGTAGAAATTTTTTTTTTCTGTATTTGTATAAATTTATGGTGATCTTCATTGCTTATTTTCTAACAAATGATTCAAATAATTGATGATTGCAAGCTGCATGACAAAGAAATTCATTCAGCATGATAGATTTTTGTTATTTTGAACTTTACTTTTCAGCAAAACAGCAAGATATCATCAGTAATCTTTTGCTTTTCACTTAATCTTAGCAATGTATCTTTTTCTGATGGTTTGACTCTTAACGTTTATGTAATAGTTATTTAAAACTTAATATGCGAATCCATTTTAAGTTCTCAAAGATCAAAATATGCAGAACCTTAATACTTTTGTGTGCCTTTAATGTATCGCCGATTTTTTCTAGCACAAAAACTAAGGTTTCGTTTCGAACGTCTTTCTTATTGCTTCTTAAAAAAACTTTTTAGTACATAAATTTTAACTTTTGTACTAAAAATATGATTTAAAAAGTAATAAAAAAATAGTCCCAAACAAAACTTAAGCTAAAAAATCGATAATTCATTAAAATTATCAACATAATTATTAGAGTTTGTGACCCAAATTCTGTTCGACTATAACCCAAAAGCTTATGGTGCAACATATATATGAACCCTTACTCTTTTTCGCTCGCATATCCATGGATGTAATTAGAGTTTTGGAGATATGTTATGCGAGCAGTCACTCTTCACTTATAACTGGTTTCTTCAAATTAGTTGATATATCATAAAAAATTTATCTTGATCAAGCACAAAAAATAGAAACTCACTTACAATTTTTCTATCCGGAGTTTTCATTTTTTTGCAGACAGAAGCACTAATATATGCAAAATTATTAACTATTGTGGAGCTTGTGCCATAGGAATCATAAGAAAATGAAAATTAAAAAAAATGCAAGACGTACCTATTCTAAATAGAGCAGAGCACCCAATTTATGGCTTCATGCTTACATTATCTAAAAAAAGTAATCATTTTCTCAAGAAGAGCAATTATCTCAAACAGGCGAACAGCACGAATAGAAATAGAAAGTTTGAAAAAGCGTGAAAAAAAGTTTGAATTGCCCCCCCTGAGCATTAAGCAGTTCCGCCTCTGTGTTCACGAACAATATCATTTGAAGTTCGTGAACAAGTTTGGCATTAAGCTCGATAAAAGCTCGAATGGAGAGAAATGCAACTGGTAAGCTTCATTTAAGAATATAATCATATAGATTAATCATATTTTCATTTTAAATAGACAACTGCTTTTATTATAAATTTAATTTTCTGAACAAAAGGCATTTCATATTTGTTCATGTTTGCTAGATTGTGTGTTTAAGATGTTCATGAACAAATTTAATGTTTGTTTGTTCAATAAATTGTTTGTTAAATATGTTCACGAACATAGCTCTTTAATGCTTGTTGTTTAAAGCTCGACAAGCATTAAACGAACCGAACGTGAATTGAACATGAACACAACATGAACACCTTTAAATTAAACGAACCAAACATGAACACAAACAATAAAGCTCGAATCAAACACAAACCAAACTTGAACAAGCTAATGATAAACAAACTCAAACATGAACACTAACATACTCGGCTCGGCTTGGCTTAGCTCGTTTGCAGCCCTAATTGTGCAAAAGAGATTTAACTTACTGTGCATCACATAATAGAAATAAATAGAAAATAAGGATTTATAAAATGATCGAAGAATTAATGGCGCTAATAATGCTAAATTTTAAAGCCTTGTTTATTGTTTCGTGAAGAAAAAATGTTGTAGAAATTTAGGATCTGTTTGGGATGGCTGTAATGTTTTATAAAATTAGCAGTGAAGTTGGTGTGGAGAAAATAATTTAACTACTCTGATTCCAAAAATAATTTTTCAACAGAATTTTTTTTAAGCAATAAGAAAGAAATAATCAAATAAAATTGTAGTTGGTGTCTGAAAAGCAAAGCAACAAGAAAGCTATCCCAAACAGGCTCTTAGTTCATGAAGGAGCATTTAAAATTCTTGGTATCGTTTGGGACGACTTTCTTAATTCTTCTTAAAGTAACTTTCTAGTACAAATTTTTTTTTCCTGTACTCATAAAAATTTAGGCTGATCTTCATTGCTTATTTTCTAACAAATGATTCAAAAAATTGATGATTACAAGCTGCATGGCAAAGAAATTCATTCAGCATGATAGATTTTAGTTATTTTGAACATTACTTTATTTTAGAGAGGGATAAATAGTGCTCTCTTAGATAGAATTTCTTCATGTAATCTCAACTTAAGCTTACTTTTTGCAGCAAAACAGCAAGATATCATCAGTAATCTTTTGCTTTTCACTTAATCTTAGCAATGTATCTTTTTCTGATGGTTTGACTCTTAACGTTTATGTAATAGTTATTTAAAACTTAATATGCGATTCCATTTTAAGTTCTCAAAGATCAAAATATGCAGAACCTTAATTCTTTTGTGTCTTTAATGCATGTATCACCGAATTTTTCTTGCACAAAAACTAAGGTTTCGTTTGGAACGTCTTTCTTACTGCTTCTTAAAAAAACTTTTTAGTACATAAATTTTAATTTTATACTAAAAACTTGATTTAAAAAGTAATAAAAAATAGTCCCAAACGAAACTTAAGCTAAAAAATTGACAACACATTAAATTTATCAACATAATTATTAGAGTTTGTGACCCAAATTCTGTTAGACTTTAACCGAAAAGCTTATGGTGCAACATATATATGAGCTCTTATTCTTTTTCGCACGCATATCCATGGATGTAATTTAGAGTTTTGGAGATATGTTATGCGAGCAGTCACTCTTCACTTATAACTGGTTTCTTCAAATTAGTTGATATGTCATAAAAAATTTATCTTGATCAAGCACTAATCTCAAAGAAATTTTGAATTGAAAATTTTAGAAATTAAATTCGGAACCATCAGAACCATTCAAACTCCGATTTCAACAAATTGGATGTCTCAAAAAGACAAATCCAACGACACCAAATTCGACCCAATCTGATCCCAAATGGGTCCAAATCGAGGATTAAAAAAAAATGGAAGGTTCAAATCATAAATTTGATTATCAAAAGATTTTAAATGTTGCATGCTTATAGTCTACCCGAGCAGCTCGAAGAGACGAATCCAACGAGTCCAAGATCATTGCATTATGATATCATTAAGACAATGATCAAATACTCAATAAACGGTTCATGATCAATGGAATAGATATCGGTCATCCCTTTGAACCACTCCCAACATGATCTTAAGTTTTTTCATATTTATCAGTTATGGTACTCCAAGAAAACTATAAATAGATCTCCCATTCTTTACTGAAAGGGGGACCAAGCAATGAAGAAAAAAAAAAGAAGAGGAAGAATGTAAAGAAATTTCATCTCTTTTGCTACAAAGCTCTTCCTCGACCACTGCCCAGCCACCAACTGTCGCAAGACTACGGTCTTTCTGATCTCCGTCACCCTCGATTACGGTCCATCTGACCACTGTCACCCAACTACGGTCTTTCAGACCACCGTCATTTGACTACAGTCTTTCCGACCTTTATTACCCTTCGGCAACAATCCTTGAATCCTTCCAACCACCGTCACCCTACTGTTGTCTTTACGAGCTCTGTCGCCTGACAATTACGACCCTTTCAACCTCCATCACTGACTACAGTCTTTCCGACCTCTGTCAACTGCCGACTATGATCCTTCCAACCACCGTCATCAACTACGATCTTTCTGACCTTCGTCGTTCACCAACTATGGTTCTTCCAACCACCATCACTTGACTATAGTCTTTATGGCCTCCGTCACCTACCAACTACAATCCTTCAGACTATCATCGCCCGACTACAGTCTTTTTGAGCTCCATCACCCGACTACGGTCCTTCTGACCATCGTCATTCAACTACGTTCCTTCCAAACTACATTTCTTGACAAGTATGGTCCTACTGATCAAACGAAAATGTCAACACTAATTCTTCCAAATAGTACCATGTAATGCACTGTATATGGTGTATATATATTACATCGAGGCATGGCCTTCCCCAAGGATGGTCTCAATTGTAATCAACTTCAAATACTAGTAGATTCATTCAACGTGATCAGGTCCCGGGATTTTTCCCCTTTTTAGGGGTTTCCACATAAAAATTCTGGTATCCCTTATAAATGATATACCCCAATCTTTCATCTAATTATGTGTTGGATCTTCATACAAAATTAAAACGCTAAAATTTATATTGCTCTACCACCACGAATATTCCAAGACACAACAATAGTAAATTCTTCTTCTTTGTATGTATTTTTTTTTTTACTTTTTCATGTAAATTTACAAGGATTTTTTTTAATGTTTTATGATCCATTTTTCATTTTTTACTGTTACAATAGTAAAGCTTTGAATAAAGATAACATACTTCATTTAATGAATAATAATATTATCTGAATCATATTGAATCAAAGAAATTCTAGCTAGTGGTGTAAAACAATGTATATAACAATTAAGTGAGCTTGTGCTAGTTCCCTCATTAGATGATGCTAGTACTTTTGATTTCAAATTTCAACTTCCTAAGAACTAAAGTATAGTTCAAATGTATAGCAAGTTTTATGCTTGAATGATCCCATCTAACCTGTTATATTTGTAGTTTCCAAATGAATCCAGAGACCTTGCTCTCACAGAATGGAGATTTTGTTCTAAAATAAGCTGACCATTAACCGAAGATCTCTGTAATTACCAATTTCACCAAATCAAACACTAGACTTACTGCAACAACCATAGAATCCATTTTATGAACAATATCTTTCAAAATCTTTCTTTCTTTCTGAGCACATTAATAATAAACATTATCAGTTATATCAGTGGAATGTACAAAGCTCTTTAGAAGTAGCTTTTAATGATCATGAATTAGTTCTCCAAAAAGCTTTTGATTTAGCCATTTCCTTCCTCAAATCTCTTTGCTTCCTCTGTTTGCTCTTCTTATCTTTCACACTTAAGCTTCTATCAATTATGATGTCAACCTTCACAATGTGATGATCTGAAGTGCCCTTTGATGAGAGAACTTCATAAGAACCAGGCACAAATTTGTATATTGAGTTTGGTGATGCCAATATGTAATCCACTCTTGTGCCATACTTGCATGTCCCTTGCACATCTGCAGAACAATTATTTAATGAATAAATAAATATCTACATATAGAAGTAGCTAACCAGAGAGAAGATTTCTTACTTTGTCCTTTAGCCAATACAACCACAGCTTGACATTCTCCTGCAAAATTCTTGGCATCAACATAATGCTTTGATTTCAGAAACTTCATCACTTCAACCTTTGGTGCTGGTTTACCAATCTCTTTATGGTACTGCAGAAAATACCAGTCCTTATAATTATTTCATGCATTTCAATCAGGGGCGGATCCAGCCTTAATTTTCAGGGGCAATCTTATAAGTAAAAATATAGAGTTTTTTTTTTCCATAAATATCCTTACAATCAAAATTTGTTCCGAGGGCAACCCCTATTTGTTCATCGTTGTACGCTTCAAAAAATGTTGGGGGTCCAAGGGAGCAATGCCCCTGCTGGGGTTTCCTAAGGCAGCGCCCCATGAACAAATTTTGATTGTAAGGATATTTTTGGATTCTCTTTATTATTTCTCTTTGTATTTGGTTCATCTTTCCCTAACAAAAACATCTCTACACAATGTGTTTGATTATGTTGGGGGCAATTGCCTAAAAACCCTTATAATAAAGACTAAAAATTACATTGAGTAGGACAAATTACCTAAAGAATTATACCCCCAGCCTTAAGGTGGATCCGCCCATGTTTCAAATAGAACTCTATGGAGAAATCTTTAGCAAGCAAGTAATTACCTTGACTATGTCTGTCCATCTCTCTTCAGAGTAATCTGTTTCATCAAGTGCATTCAGTCCTCCAGCCAATATATGGGGACCATCATTGTGCTGAAGTATGGAGTTTATCTGCTTCATTCTCCAGTTCTCGTCAAGATGGTCAAGGTGAGTGCAGTGGAAGTTTACTTCTCCTACTCTTGGTACTTCAATGGTGGCCTTCATCACATTCCTGCTTGGTTCCCAAGTTCAGAATTTAGACAACAATATTCTGTAGATAGCAGAATTATTCAGATATTAATATAAGTTACAAATGTATTTTCTATGGCTTAGTGTTCATCTTGTTTAAGGAACACATCATTGGCATCAATTCCCTTTCAACAACATACGATCACAACATTGGCATCATTGTTCACCTCTTCTTCTTCCTCCTCATATTATCGGCAAATTATTCTGTCCGGTGTCCGGATTCGTCCGGACACCAATAAAAACACGCCAAGTCACTCAAAAATACCGGGGCCCAGTGCATCCGGGTGAGGTGGCGTCTCTGGATTGGCTGTTCGCATGTCAGGTGACCGGACACAATAATTTGCCCATATTATCACACCCCCGAGTCCCGTCAAGCCCTTCCCACAATAAAATTCAATTGTGACTTCATCTATTACTTTATTGATCAGAGTTTCAAGCATCAGAGGTAAAAAGTAATGGAGTGGTGATTTGAAAATAGAATGTTTTAGAAGTAATATATATATATATAATTAAACTAATTTAAAGTGTTATGCATGCAAATCCTGCTTAATTGAATCACAATTTCATTTCAGAACCTAATCTTTATTGATGTTTCAGAATTTAACTAATTATAGACTAAGGTTTCATTTGGGACAGCTTTTTTCTTTGTTTTTTAAAACGGCATTCAAGTACAAAAATTTCAAATTCTCTAGCTCAAAAATTTTTTGAATTTAAAATTTTGTACTAAAAATTCGTTTTAAAAAATAGTACGGAAGCTGCCCAAACGAAGTCTAAGAAGATAAATTGGACAAAGATATCAAACTGCTCTCTACTTGGATTCAAAATTTATGACACGCCTAAACAAAGACAAGCAACTATGGATGTATATATACTTTTGATCAAAATATAATATTCCTCTTTCAGATGGCTTATAAAATTAAAAAGACAATATTGCCCATTCTTCGCTGAGCTCCTCCTGCCTCCTCGATGCGAAGAAAATGGTGAAGATTTAGGGGAGAGAAAGAGAAGGAAGAAGACAGCCAGACAGGGAAGTTAGAGGAGAAGCAGGAGGATATTTTGGGAAGAAAGAAGCTTTTTTTTATAATAAAATTAGTGTGCAGATAAAGAAGTAGATAAATTAGAGGAATTTGCATGTCTAAAACTTAAATTTTAATATTTATTTATATAATATAATTATTCAATATGTTTTTACATTTTTTTTAATGTATAAATTTTCATGCAATTAAAAATTAAAGTATTATATAAAAATTTAAAATTCAAAGATTATATGTGTAAATATATCAAAATTATGTGGTATGTATCTAAAATATATTTTGTAGCAGCTTAAATCATTATTATAACTAGAATATCATATGTCTACCCAGTAGTTGTAGAACTGCTGCAAAACATCTTTGCAGCACATTGCAATCACAGCGATCGTGCAACGGTTCTATAACCGATGCAAGGAAATTTGTGACGGTTAAAACCACCAAAAATGATATAATTTTGTGTTGCCGTAGCTCTTTTTTCTAATAGTGATATAGATCATTGTTATAAAAAAATCCTCATTTTATCTTTAAATAAAATTTGAATGGAAGAGATTAAAAATTAAAAAAATAATAAAGTACACAAACTATAACATAGATGAAAATTATCAAAATAAAAAATATTCACAATAATTTTATCATCTAATGTTAATGAAATGCAAATACTAATTAAGGTTAATAACATTGATTATGAAAAACTGAAGAAGCATCACCTGAAATCAGAGTCATCAAAAACCTTCTGAACTCTCCACTGCTTAATGGGAAACCTCGAAAGCACAGCGTTGCCATACTCCGGCGCCCAGCTCTCAGCAAACACATACTTCATCCCCAACCCGGCTGCCAAATCTGAAAGCGGCCTCATCTCATTCTCCTCCTCTGCCTTCACATTCTGCAGCCCAATTATATCTGCACCCACCTCTCTCAACACATCCAATACGCTTCTTCCGCTGCTTTCCCTTCTACTGCTAGCTCTAAAGTTCAAACCTTTGCTTTTTCTCTCAATCTCGTTGTCAGGAAGATTTATGGAAACTTTTAGCTTGGGCTTCGTTAAGCTGGGAAGCTGCTTTAAGATGCTTCTCGGCCGGTGGTTAACCGATTTGCATCGAAGATCGTGCTCAGATGGGGTAGAAGCCGCGGGAGCCATGGAGAACATGGAAGCGTTGAAGGTGGCGATGCGGATTGGCCGGGTGGGGAGCTCGGGGAAAGCGGGAACGGCTGGATTGATAAGCGATTCTTTACCGACGGATTCGGCGGGCTTGGATTTGAACCGGGATGTGAAGCCGCGGATGGTGATTTTGTTCCTGTGAAAGCGGCGGTGAGCGCACCGGATGCGGCGGCATAGGCGGCGGAGTCGCCACCCGGTTGTTTTGAGCATGGAGGATGGAAAAGATCGGAATTTGGCGACGCTTATGGTGAAAGCGTCTGTAAAAACTCTGCTTTTTATTTTTCTACTTCTCCGTTTGGGCATTCGAGAGATCAATGGCATGAGACTAATCTTAAGTGGGGAAGGCTTAAGATGATTCCTGTGAATTGATTTGAAAACGTTAGCGCTGGCACGTGGAGGAGAGAGAATGGAGGTAGGGGGGAGAGAGAGAGAGGTGGGTGGAGAGGAGGGAGATACTCTTCCAACTGCCCCAGCGAGGAAAGAGGATGCTTTTGCAAGAAAGACAACTGGATACATGGAGGGCATCAACAACTCCATGAAGTATGCGTTTGCTCATGAATGAATGGAGTTTGTTTGAACAGGATTCTCTCTCTCCTCTCTTCTTTTGTATGGACTTTTTTTTTTTTTTTACATTAATGGATGTGCATGCTTCGATACCGGAGTAGCCATGGCATGTTGTGATATGTGAATTATGATGAAATTTTTTAATCTTTTTGACTAATTATGGTTGCTTGGAATGCTAATTGGCACTTTGACAGCATAAATTATTATGTGCTGATTTCGAACGTCATCTAGACACCAACAAGAATGTGCTTTCACATATTCGCTCGGTACCGTAGCTTGGTGCCGCTGATGTGCTACATTCTAGTTGATCTCCGAACAACGTTCTACGTATGGCCTCCCACACATAATAATTAATTCTTTGATGGGAATGGGTGATGCTCGAAGCCTTTGACTTGTGTTGCTCATAGTTTTAATTTTTCAGTCAACTTCCAATCAAGAAACCAATGAAGCTAAAATTTTGTAATTTGTGTCACGAATCACGATGGTGGTTCTTCTTCTTATAAGAGGGGATACTTGACATTTAAAATGGTAAGTGCGAAATATCAATTGTTGATAGATGTTAAGCATTGATTATTGTTATCTTTTAGATGGTGGTCAACAAGAAATGATAAAGTCATGTTAACAGTCGGCAATTGGTTCAATAGTTCATTAATAGAGGAGAAATCGAACAATTAGGAATACAACTACTAGATGTCATTGCCTGACAAAATGTCAAAAATTTGTCGTGGAAGTGCAACAGAGGAATGTTCTATGATGAATATTAATGGTGGTGATAGTATGTGTCGATGTTGATCGAATAATTGTGTGAAGTAGTAAGAACAATAGGTGTTGATATTGATTGAGATGTATCATCACATAATAATGAGTAGAGTTCTTAAATTCTCTCTCAAATAAAAGTTCTCCTTTAAATGTGTAGAATTAAGGCCTATAAATTTCTTGAAAGAAAAAAAAATGTTCATATAATATAAGTAAAAAATTATTGGATATGTATACCTAACAATTGTATCATGAATATTAAATTTTAATTTTAAAAATATATTGCATAAATAACTTAAGGTGCACGTATCTCTCTTGTATTTTAAAATAAATTACATATATAATTTGGTATCTATTCAACAATATTTTATTTTTTTTATTTTGCTCTATTTTCATAATACTTTTTTATAATATTTACTTTTTATTTTTTTTTTATAAGAGAGTAATTTTTTCAACTTAAAGGTAACAATCTATAATATCATGTGGCTATTTTTTCTTCAATTGAATTTAAGAATTTAGTAAATTTTAATAAATTTTTAAAATAGCAATTGACATATATAAAATATTATTTTATGATCCATCATATTCACTCGGAGTTGCCACTTCCTTTGTTAAAACTTATGTGCATGCTCATTTTTCAACATGAGGTAGCTCAAATGAGTCAGCCACGCCCACCTAGTTAAGCTATTTCAAGAACATTTGTCCCTCTATTCAAGTTTTTTAAGTCTTTGTTTCAAACAATTTTTTAAAGCATTTTTTAATACAAAAATTTTTAATTCAACACATTTTGGTACTAAAAAATTTCTCTAGAAATTAAAAAAAAAATCATTCCAAACAAAATCTAAATATTTACAAACTTAATGCATCTGTGATACATCAGTTTTATATAAGAGTTATCACTAGGGGTGTCAATATTTGACACGACACGAAAACTCGGCCGGAACTTGTCCAAAAAGTTGTTGGTTCGGGATAGGGATTTCGACTAATTTGTAAAACGGAGTCGGATTCGGATTGACCTGAAACCCGAAAATCAACCCAATTTGACCCATTTTTAATTAATTTAGGGGGTTGTAAGAGATTGTTATGATATAAGTAAATGCTATTTCCGAAAAATAATAAACCATGTTGCCTAAATTGAATTAAATTTGATTTATTTTAAGTTGATTGAAGTAACTCTTACCTTAATTTGATTTAGGTTTAAATAAATCGAATTAAATTAAAAAATTAGTAAAACATATTCGAAGCTGGTTGGGTTCGAGTCCGAAAAACCGACCAGTTTGAAAAAAACGGGTGAGGTTCGGGTTGGGTCAAACAGAGCCAGGTCAATTTCGAATTAGACTCGAACCTGACCCGTGACCCAATTTTGACTGCCTTAGTTATCACATCATCCTAAATTAGTTTAGACATCGTTTCAAGCAGACTAATTGGATTGGATTGAATCAATCATCAGTTCAATCTTCAAAGCCATCTCCAAATATGTGCTTAACATCAAAAACTTTAATTTTGTCATAATATTTCATCTAATACTTTTTTTAAGATATAAATCAAAATTAATGAATCTGATTTTTATAATTACCTTTAGATAACTATCAATTATCACTAATGATTTTCTTAATGACTGGTCTTCGCTAGTGGTGGCCCAGCCATTGTCATCAAATCTTAGTTTAAATCATAAAAAATGCATATTAGGTGAAATAATTGTTTTCATCATGGTCAGACATGTCACATGATTTTGATTAGTTCTGCAGTGAAGAACATTGAGATATTAATTAAACAAATGCCGGCGTTCCTCCTCATAATTTATATAAATGATGACAGCATTAGTGTTGACAAAAATAAGTGCTTATGTATTGAATATTCAAGCTTCGTTTGGGACGATTTTTTCATTGCTTCTTAAAGCAGAGTTTTAGTACAAAATTTTTAATTTTAATACTAAAGTTTTGTTTTAAAAAACAATAAAAAATACGCTCCAAACGAAGCCTATGGCTTTGTTTGAGACGGCTTTCTTATTGCTTCTTAAAGCAGAAGAAAGTAGCTTATCTATTAAATTTTTGTATTAAAAAGTTGTTTTAAGAAGTAGAAGAATGTTGTCCCAATCGAAGCCTAAGGTTTGGTTTGATATGAATTTTTTTTTTTTAAAGAAAATTTTTAATATAAAATTTTTAATTTTTGTATTAAAAATTATTTTAAAAAACAGTAAGAAAGTCATCCGAACAAAGCCTAAATAATTTTGTGTTAATTAGAATAATGATTAACAAAGCAGCTTAGGAAGATCAAGAGCATGTGATGATTGATAATAGCCGTCCGATTTGGCGTTTATGAATTATGATTTACCCAACATGTGGGTCCATGCGTCCTCTTAAAATGGGAAGGGTTGGGTACTGTGTTGTTTGGTTCTAAATTAATTATTATTTATGATGGTCCCCGAAAATCGAATATTGACCCGATTTTGACCCGAAAATTAGCAATTTTGGGTCAATTCCGGGTCATTCGTGTCGGGTCGGGTTGACCCGGACCCGAATCGGGTCGGGTTCGGGTCCAGAAACCTGACCCGTTTTTAAAAACGGGTCGGGTTCGGGTTGACCCGAACAGTGCCGGGTCAGTTTCGAGTTCGACCCGAACCCAACCCGTTGACCCGAATTGACACCCCTAATGTGGGTCCATGCGTCCTCTTAAAATGGGAAGGGTTGGGTACTGTGTTTTTTGGTTCTATATTAATTATTATTTATGATGGTCCAAATAAAATGACCGGTTTAACAAATTGAACCAAACCGATTCGATGGATTTTGGTTGATTTGGGTTTGGGTTTTGATGTAATTAAGAACATGACCAATTAGAAATTTTAGTTTTGATTCAAATGTATTTGAAATGTTTATAATTGTTTGATGTTTGTAAAAGAAAAGTAAGTTATTTTTGGCTCGAAGTCAAATGATGGTAGTAGAAGATGACGTCGGTAGCAGCATCCGATGGTGATATCAGTTGGTCATCGGCAACGAACAACTGCAAAGTAGTCAGTTTGTAGCGAGAAAGGCAGCCAACAAAATGAGCAAATTTACAATATATAAAAAATGAAGAATGGATTGAAAATGCTAATATTTTATATTGTATTAATTTTTTATCAAATTAAATACCTAAAATTTGAAATCCTTTGCATTTAAAATAATTTGAATTCTTTTTTTTTTTTAGCAAATCAAATTGTCCCTAAATTAATTTAAAAAATAAAGTGTGATATAAGAAAAATATTGAGCCAAAGAGCAAACCAAATGATAAATATTATATTATGATTATAACAAAATAAAACATGAAAATAATATGCAATATGATTTATATATTATGTTCAATGGGCCGCTTTATTTATTTTAGTTTCAGAAAATTTCAAATCAAATAAAAATCAGTTTATAAGACCAAAATAAAAATAAATTAAAACTGTTTCTTTTAATATTTTTTTAAAGATTTAACAATTAATTAACTTATTAACACACTCTTATAATCCACCTATGAAAAGCTAATTCTTTGGAAGTGTTGGGCTTGAGGAAGGGATTCAAATTGCTCTCCATGGGCTTGGTCCATAAAAAATTAACAGGAGAATAGCAAAGGCGGATCTACTATAAAGGGAGAGGCTGCATCATTAATTTGATAGGCTATAAAGCTCAATAGTTTAAATTTCTTTGCAAAAACTCCATCATAGTTTTTTTTTTTAAAGGATAAACTATTGAAGTAAAGATAAAGTTACAACCAACCAAAGAGGAGAGCACGAACATCAGCAAAAGAAAAGAAAAATTTACAGTGGAGCAACCAACCAACAAAAGAAAAACAACGAGGGATGACCAAATTTGGGCTCAAGTAATGGCAAAACGTTGCAATCATCCAGACGGAGATCCAAGCCCTCCAAAGGGCAAGTAACAAGCCAACAAAATCAAACAGCCGAAACACCCACGAAGAGCAACAAGAACCCGCCAACATTGGTTGCCAATGAGCCAAACGAATGGATGAAAAGCAGGTTCGCCACATCATAGCCCGGGCTAAAAATATTAGCCTCACCAACCAAGCCAACAAAAACTAAACACAAATCCAAATCCAAAGAAATGTGCAAATCAACCACATCATCCAAACAGACGGAACCTTATTTGGATTTTCTGCAACGACGATTTCTCCCAACCAATGAAAAATCATTTCCATCCTGCAACATATAAGTTTCACGAAGACCCCCAGACGATTCAACA